GAGTATTTTAAGAGTATTTTATTCATTTTGAAAGTGACTAGACGAAAACCCAACGCAAGTTAGTTCTTTCGTGGCTTAGTCGGAAACTGTACTCCACGATAAGAAAACGTCCTCTGATGAATAATCTTCAAATTTCAGGTTGCCGAAGAGAAACGTGAGAAGGTATTGCAATTTCCAGATGACATGAAACATCTAGACAAGGCTGTAAAGTGAGTGCTGTTTCTCCTTGTTACACATCAGCCGTTATAGACATACAAGCATACTTCTTTACGTAAATGACTAAAAGTTCCCATTTCACTGAGAATAGCTAGTGTTAAAAGAAGCACAGTAAGATTTCTGTCCTTCACAGGTTAATAAGGCTTGATGTCCGCCGCTCTGTCGGGTCCGATCGCGTTCCTTGAGAAGAGCGGAGTGCACGCGGGCTCATTTCCCGAAACAGCGGCTGGTAATCAAGCTTGCAGGCGAAATGAAAAAAAAATTGAAATGTTGACATTGCTGTTTATTTAATTTTAGGCTATCTGTGGACAACATCACAGAAGAAGTGAAGACACTAAAGTCCAAACTCAATGAACTTGAAAAAGCCATGAAAACCGGACCGAAGGACATCGTAAAACAGTTTTCTGAATTCATTGAGGTATAAATCAACCATAAATTTAAGTGATTTCTTTCGGTACGCAATTACCAACCAGGTGTGCTGTTTGTAAAGCTACCCCGTAAATCGATATATGGCTATTTATATTCTTTCTTTGCTGATAACATTTTGTTTATTTGCCAGGGTGCTTTGGAAAAGACGAAGAAGCTCGACGAAGGCATTGCCGAAATCCACAACCTGACGAAACAGCTGGCTTTGTATTTCTGTGAGGACGAAGGCAAGCTAAAACTGCAGGAGCTTCTGTCGCTGTTTAAGACTTTCTGTGATCAGCTGGTGAAAGCAAAGAAGGTAATCATAGATGTTGAATTAAAAGAATTATATGTTATCAGCAAAAAGTGGTTTGATGCACTCGAACTCGAACTCGAACTCGTATTTAGGGGAACCAGATTTTTTCCCCCATCACAGAACGTGCGACGATGACAAAACAATGTTACGACAAAATTCATGATCAACATCAGGGCAGACGTATTTAATTTGATAACGGTCAAACAGAAATGCTACTCAGATCCATGTAATTTCTATATCGTCTGTAAGAACTTTTTGGTGTTAATCTCAGCTGTAACTCGCGCGTGATGGAAATAAGTGTGCAACTCCTGGTAACAACAGGCCTTCAAAATTAGAACGGCAGTAGGCATTGCTTATCACTACTTCATCTTCCTCATTTCAGGAAAACGAACAGTTTCGTATCCAAGAAGAGAAACGCAAAGCACGTGAGAAAAAACGAGAGGAGGAGGCAGCAAGAAACGCTAAGGCAGGCTTAGCAGGAGTAAAGAAAGGCAAACCACGGCCCCTTGACGAGGAACAAGAAGGCTGCATTGTCGACCGACTACTCAGCGACATAAGGAAAGGATTCCCCCTGCGGAAGAGCTCCAAGAGTACAACACCCGGCGGGTGTAAATCAGCATCCCCCAGGGCAAAATTGAGCCGCGATGAAGGAGGTAATGCTAAAAGAGCAAAGGACGACTTTCGAAAGAGCTCGAGCCCAGCAAGGATGCACAAAATCGAAGAAAAGGAGAATGAGATAGTGTTGAAAAGAAATCTCGAGGGGCCTTCCCTTCCCGTCAAATAGATTGTTAGTATATGTAGAATAATTAAAATGTGCACTTGCTTGTTGTACTTGCGTTTGTCAAGTCAAACAGTCAATTTGTTTCCAGATTCGAAAAAGAATTTAAAAGTATTTTTCTTTCAAGCATTGTTTGTGACTACTTGGCCAATTCCGACCGTACCAACCAGGCTGGATTAAAAAAAGGAAGAAAAAAAAAAAAAAAAAAAAACAGAGAGAAATAGAAACTCTAAAGTCTCTTGAAAGGACAACTCTAAAGACACATAATTTAGGAATCCGGTGCATTAAAAGAACCAAGGGTATTTCTACTGAAAGATGACGAAAATTTCGTAAAGTTTTGCTCAATAAAAAAATTAATCCAACAAAACCACAAACATTCAATCTGTTGTAGCCCAATTTAAAACATCAGGAAATTCAAATTAATTCTTTTATCGACGCTTCCAATGCGCGCTGAATATATTTTTCTAGGAAAAACTACAATTTAAAATGTTGCTCGCTTTGAGTCTATTTTTTCTAAGATGAGCTTATAGTTTTTTAATTACTGTATACGTAATAAATTTCTTGTCTAGAAAGTTGGACTTTAAAAGAAAGCTTAATGTGAAATTATCCGGTGTTAATCCTGTCTGTTCATTGTTGAATTTTGTTGCTGGAAAATAATTTCTTTCTGGTAAAAGAGAAGGCTTTGTGAATTTGATTTCACCATGGCCTAAGTCTCTTTTACATTCTTTTTTTGTTGTGACTTTAAGACCCAATCATCAGCTGCCAAAGAGGGTATATAGCAATGCTGACGCAAGAACGAAGTTGCTTGCTCGTAAAATTTTCTTATATTCGTGGTTTACAATCTGTTGGATGATAAAGTAATATTTATGCCTTAATTTGTTTTATTTATTGTAACCTTTTCTGTCGCAGCCCCTATTTTGATTTATTTTTTTGGCTTCATAAATGTGTATTTTTGAATAAAATTTTAGAGGGTTGCTTTAGTTTGAGAACATAGTTAGAAAGTGTTCATTATTTACGGGCAAAGTGGCTGGTAAATATGAAAATTGGGAATTAAATTTTAGGGTGAAAGCAAACCTTCCCTTCCTCCCCTCTGTAACAACGGACAGTTTTTGAAACCCCCCCCCCCCCAGCTCCTCCCACCCCACCATCTTCCGTCATTAATCTATATGCATATGTATACACCCCTGCACTTTGAGTTGCTTTTGTGGGACAATAGTTAAGGAAAACATACAATTCAGGACGAAAACGTAGGACTAAGACTGGCTGCACGTATGATGTGCATCGTGCCAGTGGTGAGTTGCGTGCTAAGCGGTTTGGTTCATTTCTAATTCAACGTCCAACAGAGAGTTCTATTACCCACTTCCCACTCCGTGTTAGGAACAGGTTGCTCATGGTGAAATTGGTGTGTCATTTGATATCAAAGAATCACCACGCCTCTTGACTTGTTCATCCATGTGTCAACATGTGTTAAGCACGTGACTTTGTAAGCTTTGGTCATCATGTGGCAGAGTGTTAATTACGAGTGGCAGGCAGGGTTACAGTGACAGTATCCGGAGACTTACCTCTGTGAACTTTTGCAATTGCAGTATTCTTAATTTAAGGATGGAAACGCATCTACATTTAAGACGATTCTACACTTGTTTTCGTTTCTGATGCTATGACCTATAAATGCCAAACGTTTCTCTTTCATGTTGTTAAGCTGTTGGCTAAAACCCTTTCTGTGACGCCCTACCCCTACACTGAGTTAAAACCTTTCACCTCCCCACCCACCCCCCTTCACTGTAGCAGTCCCTCTCCTACAAATAATGAACACTCTTTTGTTGCCTTAAGTCGAAAATAGAATCAAAAGAAAGGTTCTTTTAATAGCATTCTCTGTATAACCTCTTTTATGCAGACATTGGCTGTCGTCACTATTCAGAGAGGCTGGCCAACAAAACGAAACAAAACTCATGCCGTGACAACCAAAATGAAGTATTGATTTCTTTTTCATCACGAAAAGAAAGGCAAAATTGACCACATCATATTCTTTATTTAATATCTCGTCAAGTATTTACAGCAGTGAAGACTATGATATCTCCTTTAAAAGGGCACAAAAAATATTTTCTAGAAAAAATTAACATAAATTCCAGGGCCACTAGAGCGAATACAGAATGAGATATGAAGTATTGAGTCTTCTGACTAGGTTAGTTCAGATAAAATTTCGTGTAGCAATTATTTTTGTCACTGTCTTTAAAAATAGTCAGTTTGGATGTTCCTGCAGTCAAAATAAAGCTTGTGTTCTTTAAATCACAGTTACAAATACTCCAGATATCCAGAATATGGCCTGCGGTTATTAAGTTTCAAGTGTTTACATTTTTTTTCCTGTTCAGTAGCTCTGTTCATCTGCATGGCGCGGGTTTAAGGTTTTCGTTTCTTTGTGTGCAGAAGCTGAAAGCTGAAGAAGCTGAAAGCTTTCAGTTAAAAAACCTTTTCAGTATGTTTAATCCGTGTAAATTTGGCTATGTTTGTTATTTTAACAAGCGTTCAAAACTGATGGTCAAACAATTCAGTAGGAGACTGATATTGTTTAACTCTCGGTTGATTGTTTCCCTTTGACGAATCTGTTTAACTTAATTAAAATGTTTAAACAGGCGATTGCTCTTGTTTAACTTAATTAAATGTGTAAACAGACGATTGCTCGAGTTTAAACATGTTTATCAACATAAGTGTTTTTTCCTCAACGTGATATAAAATACTTCGACCTTTATCTACTCAATGTCACGAGCTTTTACATAGCAGCAATGTTTGTCTTCTTAAATGACATTAAATCCCAGCGAAGATTCCAAGAGACTTACAAACTCGATGTTTTAGTTATAAATTATAGACTACAAATTGCTATGAACGTTTCACTGAAATATCACTTGTAGTAGTGCGTTATAGTTTGAATAGAGGAGCATTGATTCAAATGACTTGATATGAAAAATATTCCACTTTTCACGTCCGCATCACACGCACCCAAGGAGTAGCAAATAGCGATTATTTTGACAGAATTTTGGAGTAGTACCGGGGACCCACTTGTAATTTTTCACTCATGGAAACGAGGCTACAGTCACGTGATTAATTTCAAAGCCCACGCATAAGTGGCTATTTCCGACCAGTCTCGACACGAAGGGTCAATTGCCGGTTGACTTTTCAAAACCATAATATCCACTTGAAATGCAAAAAAAATTTATATTAACAGAGTCACGTTTCGTTGTTAAAGTGATCTTTTGGTTATTTTTAGGCGGAAAGGTGTTCGTCATGCCAGATGTGGCTGAACAAGATGAAAATGGCAGTGGCACGCCAGGAGCAGATATGATAGATGACGTGTTTGTCAGCGAAGGAAATAAAGTCGAGAATAAAACGCACCAGAGAGAAGAGAAGGCTGAAAAGAGCGAAGAAATATCTGAGAAACGTAGTAGGGTACCTGCTGAGGAAATAAAATCACCCACAGTTAACACGTCAGAGGAAATGCATAAAACTAAGAAGCAAGAACCAGGCGAGTCAGCTACAGAATATGCCTCTAAAACAGAGGAAGACGGAGAAATACCTTCTGCAGTACATAAAAATGTATTAAACGAAGATAAATTTGCAATTCAAGCTAAAGAGGAATTAGACAAAAAGGAAAAGGCAATTGAATCTTCGTGGGACTCACCCAATGTGGATAAAACCGACAGACGCTTTTCTGACAAGAATGGTGAACTGGTAATGGTTAATGGAGTTCACGAGGACCTGTCGCCCACAGAAACACCTGAGAAAGCACAGGTTGATTCAAAACCTGAGCTGGTGACTGTCAAAGAAGGCTATAGTTTAGTCGCACCAAAACAGAAGGTGGCGTTCGCTAAGGAAGGCGACGATGATACTGTAATAAACGATTCTTGTAGTTCACCCAATGAAGATAATACTGGGCAGCGTGAAAATGGTTATAAGCAAGAGGAAAGACTCAATGATCAGGTCTCTAGCCTATTGCCTGTGGAGATTGAGGATAAGGAAAGAGACTTAAACACATTTGAGTCAAAATCAACAACGAAACAAAATGACCGGGAAAAGACTGAAACGAGTTCAACATCAGCTACACAAGTTGACGATTCCAATCGTAAAATAAAGACTTCATTAGAATTATCAGATATTCCTGTAGCTTTTAATCGGCCGGAAGTAAGAAATGATCCGAAGTTAATTCGTCTAGAAGGTTCGCAAGAACGCGAACCAAAGAAAAGCGGAAAAATTTCGGTGGAAAGACCTCAAGCTCTGCAAAATACAGCGCTGTCCGAAAATGGCGGGAAAACTGAAGTTGCGAACCAATCACAAAGCATCAAAAAATCACTTGAGGTGGAGGATGACAATCCGTGGATTCTTCAGCTTCCACAAGGAGGGGACCAGGGATCAAGGGAAAGAAGTGAACAAAAGAGAAATAATAACAGTAATAGAAGAACCGAACATAAACAAGAGGACAAACAAAGCGAGATAAAGGACAAACAAGCACTAGTCTTACCAACTGTGACTATCGACCAAAGCGACAAGTTAAGCGTCGATAGAAATCGTGAACACCCTTTGGAAGAACTGAGTGAAAGTGGAGAAGAACACACTGAGGAAGTTGAACCACGAAGAACAAGCGAGTCGGATCTCAGCGGCCTCCGTCCATTGAGTCCATTAAGCCCTCTGATGGAAGACCAAGAGTCAAACAGTACATTTTTACATCCTTCTGGCGCCCAGGTGACCAAGGTAAAGAGGAACAAATCTTTTATGGCGCGCGGATTTTCCAAAATGTTCGGAAGTAAACGCAAGTATAAAGTTGACAAAGAACAAAAAGATACTACTTATTCGTCGGAATCTGATAATAGAATGGCTCACGAAGAGTTTGACTTCAGGGAGAATCACAACACGGAGAAGAAGGAGAAGAAAAAGAAGAAAAAAGAACGCAGTGAGAAAAAAAGTGATGAGCAATCAACTGATGAACACGGTGCAGACAAGAAATCGTCGCGTAAATTTGGCGGGCTTTTCTCGCGAGGGAAAAAGAAAGAGAAACAGTCACACTAGAATGAGAGATAATAACGTTTTTCTATCTCTATATAAAGTGGTTTGATTTTTAACAGTACAAAGTCATCTTAGCAAAGCTAAAACAGCCAGTCATAAAAGGATAACTGAAATTGAAGAATCTTTGGTTTCGCGCCTTTGTGATCGACTGAGATGACGTCATATCTTTTCACTGAATTTTTATGATAATGACGTCATGTCTTTTCCAACATAGGTCAAGCAACTTGCTTTAACAAAGCACAAAAAGTTTGAAATGCAAATCGTAACAAATCTTCAAAACCCACAGTTCTAGCTGCAACAAGGTTTTACAATGCTCAAGTCTTATCTAGCTAAAAAATCGTCAATCGTATTCTTCAGTTGCCGATTTGTTGATTTAAATTACTTGAATCCGGTATAGGCAAACATTTTCTAAAGCGTTGTTTAGTTGAAAAGTTTGTAGGTTATTAGACAAAGCGTCAAGAAAAGAAGTTAGAGCGATTTTCATTTGACATTGAAAATGTATTTTCGTTTTAGTGCGTTTTCCCTTTTAGATTTCCATATGATGGAGAATGCATCTTTCAATGGACCAATCACGATCGTTGAAATCCAGCAACGTCATCGCAACATTTGTATATCGGCTCGCGCGTTCGAGCTTGCGAGGCCAACCACGATCTCGTCCCCAGGGCCTTCGAAAATCGTCGAGGAGAAGGCCCTGGGGACGAGGTTGAGGCCAACCAAACCCCGGGCGCGTTTGTTTCGTTTTCATTCGTTTGTTGATTGCGTTAATGTTTGCGTTCTATTTGTTCGTAGTCATTTCAAGGTCTAATGAAAGAGAACCCATTATATGCATAACCTTACGTTCAGGATGGCGTTTATTGTTATGAATTGTCAATATCGATTGTTTCTGAGATAAATTAGCAGTGTTATGTAATATCATGGGTGACAAATTACTTCTTAATTTTGGCGCGAAATTTCAGCATTTTTAAAATTTATAATTTCACATGTGAAATAACAAAATTATTTTGTGAAATTACTTTTGGCGCGAAATTTCTCGATACAATAAACAAGTCAAAAACCCAGGATTGTAAGCATGACTTGTCATCCATGATATTAAAAGGAAATCAAATGGTATACTCGTGAAATTAAAAAATGAGGGCTCGGAAAATTATTAGAGTTTTTTCCAAAACGCGCGTGAAATTATTTCCTGATTTTACTCGTCGTCACCATTTGATTTCCCAGACGTATTGCGCAGTTTTAGAGAAGTTTTTTGTAATTGTGGAAGGTAACAAAGTTCAATCCAGAAACTCTTTTAACTTATTTGGCAAATCATACTCTTGGAATTCCTGAAGTGAGCTGTTCAACCACAAGGAGCTTTGGGCCATTTCAATGAGGAGTGCGGGGGGGAGCACAAACCGAAGAACGTTAAAAAGCGAAGGAATCATTAAGAGAATAACGACACAAAACAAACCCCTTAGAGAGAAATTAAACGAATCATATTTCATTCGTCATATTTCAGACAGAGCCTCTGGATTAAATCTCTATCCTATTTCAGACCTAGTCGTCCTTAGAACTCTACACATTGTTTCATACGCTGGAGAGGTTTTCGGAACGCGTTTTATCAAATTGCAAATCGATCATTTTTTCCTTGTTACTTTCTACTTCTCCCCTGTTCGTTTGAAGAACATTCACAAATGTGCTGACTGTGAGAGAATTTCGAAGTGAAAGAAAATGAAATTGAACAAATTCAGCCAAAAGAAAAACTGCTCGACCCAACTTAGAACCCAATAATATGACTCAACCCTCAGGTGGAAAGGCTGTAAAAAAGGTTTTCAGTAGTTTACTACCCTAGGTGGAATGGATTCGCGGTTATGTTTTAGCCGAAGATAAGCGATGACATTTAACAAAACATGAATAGTTAAGATTGACTTTAAATTTTCCTTCCGACAAATTGTTTAGAACTGTACCGCGATCTTCCCTTCGTTCAGTTTTTAAGCCCCGGCCAAACAATCGCAACATTTCAACGTACATTGTTGGGCGCAGCATGTTGCGCGCGTTTGGCTACCTTGTTGCGACGTGTTGCGGGGGCTTTAAAACACTTTAAATTTATAATATAAACTCTTGTTTTTTATTCATTTCTTATAATACTTCTATACCGTAATTAACCTGATGACTCCCTCATTTCCTTGTCCCTTACGCGTTGGAATGTGGTAGGCCTCGAGCTAGGGGACTCGTTCCTCACCCTTCCTCCACCCCGGGCCTGGTAATGAAGAAGCACGGAGAGTGCGCATTACATATTGCTGGAGCCTGGTCCTTTAACTGAGAACAGTGATGGATTCCCGCTATTCCCCACCACACCCACCTCCCCTTGGGATCCCCTTTCCACCCCGACCAATGGCAAAAGAGAACGAGGCCCGTTGAAGCTCAAACTCTCATTGAATCTCAACGTCGTCAAAATTTTCTTGGAAGTAAAAGAGGGATCTTTTCAGTGTTTGATCGGCAGATGATGTCAATTCTCGTCAATTCTCGTTAGCAAGTGCGCCAAAGACACTGATGGCCAACCAGAGTTGAAAAAGCCTCCTCCTCCTCCTCCGGGGTTGAGAGTATTCCCATTTAAACGTGATGGGATTTTCAGTGGAAATTTCGGAAAACATCCTTAGAATTAAGGTATCACACTCCTCTTTCAGTTTTTAAAGAGGTGGCTCTAGTTTAATTTTACCCAACCCTAAGACAAAAACCACTTCGTGGAAACTAGATTCTGTTTATTTCCAGATACCTAAAAAATGGAGCCCAAGAAATAGAATAATATTAAGCCACTTTGAAAATTTAAAATAGAACACCCTACGCGGTACCACACACGGTTTTCGACTGGCTTTCTTAGAAGATATTTTGTTGTTAGAGAATATCGTCAATTATAGTTTTTCGCCGATTAAGAAGAAAATTAAGGGGAAATGTTGACGCTCATAAGCTTTCATGGACTCTCCCTTCTCTCGTCTGGGGTACAAGAAATAAACTCAGTAAAGTTTGGTTTCAATTTTGTTTTTTTATTTTAAAATTTGTAGTGTTTTTTGTTTAGTATCTACCCATTAAACGCGGCTGTCTCTAGTCAGACATACTTTTAAAATAAATAACACATTGTATTTCCACAATTACCTCCACAATCCACAACTGTCTAACTTGTACAGTTGGACAGTTGGTAAAACATTGTGACATTCAACAACTTATATTACACAAAATGGTATTACTTAGTGGGCGATAGATTTGGTTTGCTAGTAATCTAGCTACAACAGATCAAATGAAAAATAGCATTTCATGCCATACTTTCATTCATAACTAAAGCATACAACTCTGTCTGAATAATGTTATTTTTTTCTTATAAAAATTTATAACTCTCGGTTATATAATAGTTATACCTTAATTTTAGATAATAACATTTAAAGTCAATAAATTATTAATATGCTTTTAATTAATTTGAAGCATGACAACGGTCTTAAATAGAAAGATATCTTTGGTTAGTCCTTAGTAAACTGGTAAACACGATGTAATTTTCGTTATGGCTTCAAGAGTGCTTTATCAACCTAAGAAATTACCGGTCGTATGATTTCTATCAATTATAAACGGGTTTAGTTTTAACTAATACCATAAATTATCTAGACTGTTCAGTGTCTCTTTGCAGTACGTGAAATCCTCTTTGAGGTCTATTTGGTCACCAGAGCATTCGAATTTTCTTCCATTTAATAGAAGATTACAGCGAGTGCACACGGCATTGCCATATAGTCTAACCTGTTCACGAATAGAAACAATAATACTTGAAACTTGTGCCAACTCTAGCTAGGTTTACTTTCGATAAATTACATTTCTATAACTAGCTGTCCTTTAATCTCGTCCGGTGTTGAAGATTCCAGCGGTAATATCGCTGGCATATCTTTACTTAAGTTCAAATCTTTATCCCAAAGGGCATTTTCTGTAATTTGCACAGAGCCATGTACGCCATCCCTGGAGAGCAAGAGTTTCTTGAGCCCGTCGTTGTTAATAGCAGTGGTCGGTGGTGCTGGCATGGAGTTGTTGTGAAGGGGTATGATGATTAAACGAGGAGAGGGCCTGGAAAATTGGCGGGAAAGCTCGGCACACGCGTCTCTGAAGAACCACAAGTCGACGGCGGCGAAGAAGACCAGGCTTAGAAAGAAGAAGGCCAGAGGAACGTAAGACATTTTCAAAAGTTCGTCAAGTGACGTCAGGAATGCAATGACAATGAGAGAGACTGGGAAGACTCCTTTTATGGCAATAGCAAGCAGAAAAACCACGACTGATCCAAATTTCCTCATTTTCGATTCCTCTCGAGGACTGGCCACTTGGCGGAAATACTCTCTCTCATTCTCCGCAAATACCAGACTTCCCTCGACAAGCAGCATGATCACGCCCATGATGGCGTTCTGTTCGTAATGCAGAATCGTGATGCAAGTTGCCATAGCAACAAGATGATGGACAAGGAGGGGCTTGAAGTGGAAGATCTCTCGATGGAAAGTGACAACTTCCGCTGTTTTGAAGATGTAATGACCCAAGGCGATGGAAAACACCAAGCGAAACGAGCCGTTGAATGCGGAGAAAGGTTTCTGAATGACGTCCGAGTTCGTTAATAGGACAATTCCGCATGCTGGTAATGCCACACAAAATACAAGGTTGGTAGCGCTGGAAATAAGAAAATAAACAATTAGTCTTAAAACATTTGAGACCAGCAATGAGAAGGGAAGGTTTTAACTTTACTATCTTGATCAATGATAGCTAGAGGAAATAATTTTTTTAATATTATAACTAGTCAAACAAAGTTGGTCAGTAAATGTCTAAAAAAAAACATTTTCCTGTTGTCATTTTTTTGGTAAACTCTAATTTTTGATCAGTTGCCTTATTTTAAAACTTCAAAAGGCCACTGATTCAATGCTAAAGAAGTCCAAAAACGTTTTAACAGCTTCTATTGGAAGTTTGCTTTGGGAAAAAAGCATATCCTTGGCACAAATACATCCTTCATAAAAACAATGACGACCAATCACTAGTAACTGGTTCTTTGGATAACTTTTATCTTATTTTTAGTTTCTATTTGAACTGAAATTTATAATATCTCACTTATTACACTTTTGACCTTGCTTTTCGTGTTATCTATTTTAAAAACATTGATTTCCATTTTTAGCCCCAGTTTGGCCAGCACCTGATCAAATCACATTCGAACAGGAAGACCAAAGAAGCATGAGTGTTTTTCTTTATGCCCACACCAATGAATGCGTCATAAGTCGTATCTGGTGTCGAAAAATCAAGTTTAACGAGCCAATAAAAGATAAAAGCCCTCCTCTGTCTGTAAATAGAAGAGTTATTTACCGTCTCGTTTTCTCAGCTGAATGAAATATGTTTTGTTCATGGTATGTCAGTTTTCCTGTTTATCCTGTCAAGCGATTGAAATTTGCCTGAAATGACGCATTAGGTCTAACAATTTGGAAAAGGTGGAGGAGGAAAACTTTAACAAGAGAGTATTAACGAATATATATCGAAGGAAGAGCGAGAAGATTGCCTTCAAATGTCACCGACTGTGAGAGAATCGGACGTTCGCGTTTTAAAATTTGAAATGTTGCCATACAGCCCATTTTTCGTGGGCTGAGACTTTGAAATGACTAGTTTTCACTTCTAACAAATTATGGAGGGTTTTGAAACTAATACGTAAAAGCGTGGGCCCATATATCTTAAGCTTGATGTTTTGGTCAGAAATATTGAATTCCTTTTTACTTCGTTCGTCACCAAAATGGTGAAAATATAACTTAAAATTTTCAAGTACCAGGCAAGATTGATTGTCAGTGAGTATTACATAACGACCAACAAATTTTGCTTCGAAGTTCAACTCTTATCATAGAAAAAGCTGTAACAAGCAAAGAGAAAAGTCGCTTTTTGAATCATTAAATTAACAAGCCATTTCATAAAAGCCGGCAGTTGTTCGTACGTTGGTTTACTTTTGCGTTGAAGAGCGAGTTTGAGTCTTCCGTTAAATCTCCCACACCGGTTTCACTTCTTCTTTTGCTGAAACTTCAGTCATGTTTCCCGATGACGAAACTTCCTAAAATCTGAGTCGAAACTGGGTAAAATTAACCGTTATATAAGTCAGTCGAAAGCGACAATGCTTCGTTGAAGGCCATGAAGTAATTATAGCATTCCTCTTAAAATAGTCCGTTTACTTAAAAACAATATGACATAATGACGAGAGAGAATGCAAAATCGGGAATATACGAATAAAATAGAACAGAAGCTTGTAAAATATATAATAAAATGTAAAAGCACTGGGAACTTTTTATGGGATTTTTTCACTGGCAATATAAATAATGTTGCTGATGATGCAACAAGGCAGATAAATGGGAACTGAAGTTACAGTTGATGCGACATACTCCTCTTCCTGTCAAATTCCCTTTTTTATTGTCACAGCATAGCATTAAAAAATTAAGAACATGATATTGGACCATCTGCTGACTGAGTAAAAACCCAGAAACGTTTCCTGTTAGGGGAATGATTTGGTTACCAATGACCAAAAACATATGTTGTGCACCGCATTAAAATATATGTTTCACTGTCAAGAAGTTTTGAAATTCAGCCATTCAAGAAATTCACTGAACCGTTGCGAATTCCCCTAACTGCAACGAAACTAACGAAGTTCTAAATCCCCTGTGAAACTGAAAGAGGGTTTCAGCGAAGAGTGCAAGATTTTCAAGCTTTCGAAACATGCGTTTTGACGACAGCAGAATTAAGCTATATTGCATTGCGCAAAACTATGGTGTTTTTCCCCTAAAATCATTATTTCTCTCGGCCTTTCCACAAAATTGGACTCAAGTTTACGAATTAAAAACCATCTCAAACGAAATGGATTTTAAAGCCAGTTTTTGATGCGAAAATTGTTTGGAGCAACCATTTCAACTACCCTAGTAACCTTTTTCCCAGCTTGTTAAAAAATTAGTGTCCCTGAACTATTAAATATGCAAGGAGATAAAAATAATCTTTGGAAATTATTCTATGAAATTTTAATTAAATTTAAAAACAGGACGATAAAATTTTTTCTGTTTAAATATGTTTAAAATGGCTGCCTTGCGTTGCTGGAGAAAACTTCATAAGTATGTAATCCTGCTGCATTAGAAATACCTGGAAATTCAATTCGCAACATTGCTGTTCTGGTACCGTGAAATTGAAAAGTTCTGTCAAGGAAAATTAAGAAAATACACAAAACTTTTCTCAACAGAACTGTAGATCGGTCGAAATAATTTTCTGTGACCTGTTTTGAATCGACTGCCGATTCATATTTGATTTTAACTGATAGAGAACAGTCTAAGCTCTTGATAGTTTTGCTCGGTCGTGTTAACAGCTTCAAAACATTACCTTTAACGCTAAGCTGTCTTATGTACTGCTTAGTTCAGCGAACAATCGTAAAGACCGGAAGTGCGAACAGAGATCTAGCTATTCAACGTGCTGAGCTGTTAAATCTTTTGTTGTACATAAGACTCAATACTTCTTTAATTCTGAATGGATTTCTTAAGTAAGCTTCTCATTTCTCCTCTGAAATATTTCTCTATAAACAAAATATACTTACAATCGCCGACAGAAGGACGGCATATCATCGGCTCGTTCCTCGATTTCTTGTTCTCGCTTACGTCCAAAACCTCGCAGAACAGTTCGGCACATTTTTGGCAAAATAACACTCCATGACACGCAGAAATTTACAGTCACTGACACAATAAGAAGGATTTCTAGACTTTTGTAACTCAAAGTTTGAGTTGGGGCATTTTCTTGTGCTGTCATCTCGTCTGTCTCTCAGGTCTCTAAGTTTTCGGTCTCGCAGCCTGACAATATACGATTTAAATTTTTCCGCCTTCAAGCTCTGCTGTCTGAGGTAGAGTGGCAGTTTGAATAACTCGGGGCAATAATAACCCCTATGCAAACGTCAATTTTTTTATCAAAGCCAAAAGGGGGAAGTACCGTCATAGTCTAAATATGTCTTCTCTACTCCGAAAGAAAATCCCGGAAGCGGAAGTTGAAGTTAACGCAAGAATGCCCGCCTTTGTTATTGCCCTGTCACGAGTTACCAGCGTGGCAGTGTACATTCGAGTTCCGGTGTTAGATGAAAAAGCCTTAAACGTTTCATTTTCGCATACAGCGCGGTTTTTTATGAGCTCTTTAAAAATTCTTCCATGACCAGCGGGATGCCACTCTTTTCACCAAGTAATTGAGGAAAAAACAATCGAACTTATAAACTTAGCTCAGCCGCCCACTTAAAGTTTATATTATTGACATTGTGTCACAAAACCGAGAAAGTTGTTCTTCCCTTCCAACTTTTCCCTTTTTCAGACATCCCGTATTGACCAGGAAGTCAAGATTTATCAAGAAGCGCAAAGAATTCTACGTCGATCAACAATTCTCATATTGTTTTTACGGCATGCAGGGATCAGACTTGTCCCAAAAACTGTCTAGACAACGAGCTGGCCGAAACGTCACGCAAAGTGTTGAGAGAGAAGTTGGGGTTAGATCAAACACTTTCATGACAACATTTTGCGTGGTTTGTGGGCAGTCCTTCCAACCTGAGTCTGGATGTCTTAAAAACCTTGATCGTTTCTAGCTAGCCAGAGTTTTTTAACTGCGATGGTTCGTAAGGGAGCCAGGCGAGCATATTTAGTCACGCCACGTCACTCTAATACTTGGAACTTTGCATCGCGCGTACTGAAAAGTTATTGGTAATCTAATGTTTACTGTGCTTTTGTTTCGATGCTTACGTTCATTGCTGAAGTTATAAGTTATATAACACCAAGATATTCGCCCATGTATAAATAAACTTAGATTCCGTGCAAAGAACTACCGTTCGTTGATTCTAAGCTCTTCCATTCGCAGGCATTTGACACCATTTCCTGCCCAGCCCGGGGGTGGGGCATTGTCAAAGGCAATTTGATCTTTCACTTTTTAAAATACGTACATTCTTCTTTGTTTATTTTTTAAAATTTTTAATTTCCCTCAACAAAAAAAAGCGTATAAAAACTGAGTTGATGGGGACCTCTTTGGAGTCCCGCGCTTCATTCAACGGACCCGAGCTTCACTCTCAAACCCACAGGGGCAAACATTTGGAATGCAGGGCCAGGGGCTTGGAATTGACAGGGCCATTACCATGGATAACTTCTTGTCTAGCCCCCTCGCCCCCCACCCCTCCCCCTCCCCGTCCCTCGTGGTTCAGTAAAGCTAATGTCATGTCACGGTAAAAGACAAACCAATGAGGGTAAAAAGTTATCTTCACAGACTTGGCATCTAAGCCCACCCTCATTTACAACTCGCTGGAGTTCTCGGAGGATCGCGGAGAACACCCACGATCCCACTCGCAAGCTCCTCCGCGCGGGAGGACCGTGGTCCCTGGATCATGTGGATGGGTGAACGTTAGTGGCACTCTCCGCAATCTTCAAATATTGAGCTGGGAAATTTAGATATAATTCGCCTTGATCGACTAGCCTTGCTGGTTAGCTCAGCCTATTCTTGCATTGAGTTTACCCTTGCACAAGTTGATGATTTTAATCACAAAATTTCCATTTCTTATTATAAAACTTAAAAGTTTTATAATAAGAAATGGAAATTTTGTTTTGAAACTAACAACCGCACAACAGGAAAAACTACTCAAAAAGATTATTCCCGGGATAAGTTCTCGAAAGAGAAATTAAAACCACCTTGCACAGCATGATAACCGTGCTTCATAATAGTTAGATTATTAAGCAAAAATGTTTATTTCTTTTGTTTTGAAACGAATTCACATTGCTCTACAGTATGTTACTTTTTTTTTATTTATATATTTATTTTTGCTCATCCAATATAACAGTCATCGTGGAAGGCGGTTTAAACTCTCTTTCAGAACCTTTTATTTTAATCCAATAAATGATGAAAGTGAACTAAATGTTCCTCGTGGTGACGGGGAAAATGAAGATGACGTCATTCTGAGCTGCACGACACACCACTTTCGAGCCAGTTGATTTATTTCCACAGAGATGCTTCAGTGAGGCGTATAATTGAAGGTTGAGGTCTGTTACAGTTGTTTCAGCGTATGTCCGTATTAGGTACTGAATTGTTGGTTTCATGTGACTGGATTTGTTGGAACGAAACGTTGTAGACAGGATTGCAAAACTTGAAGCTTCGGTTACCTGATCCAAGATTGTAAACTATTCGAGTTGTTAGGACTAATAACGTTAACATTGAAGGTTGAATTGCTCAGTTGGGCGTTAGACAAAGGGCGTACAAAAGTGCTAACTACCCCCAATTTTTCCGGTTTTTAAGGGGCAAAGTGATTATTTTCATTTAGGGAAGCCACAAATTTTCCCAGATACTACGTAACGACATAAAAATGTCGCAGCCAAATCCTATCTTTAAACGAATTCGTTTCCTGCCTGTCGATTCCAAGGGAGCGAGTGTTTTGTTCGAAATTATTATTCGAACCAAACGCTTCTTTGAGCCGATTAGCTGTTCGCGAGTCACAGCACTACCGGAACTAACATTTGTTTGGGAGAATAAATTTTTTGCTCTGGAGGAAGTCATTTGTACAAGGAAAGGGTACATAAATGGAAACAGCATCGAAAACCTTTCTTGTTAATTCAGTTCCTCTCAAACCTAAACGGGGGATTCCTTTTTTTCGCTGAACGGAAGTGATTTCGGTCGACCTCGTTTCCAAGATCAGGTTTACTTCCGGTTTTATTTGTTGTCGTTTTAGCGGGAAACGAAGCAAGCGAACGCACCGTCGATCGCGCAGCGTTCGAATTATCATTTTTTCCTGTTTATCTGCCATTTTGAACTCTGGCTTTCGGTTTTTTGCAGTTACGTTAAAGCGAAACCACGACATATAACACCGATGCAGAATTTCATTGGAAAAATCAACAAAAACTCTTCGAACTAATCAAAGTGTTTTGTTTGAAACGAGGCAATTTCATTCATTCATTTGCATGAGAGTTTTTCCTTTGTTGAGTTGAAGCCCCAAAATTTCGAACCTCTTTCCGCGAAAATAGGAGTTAGTGTTACATTTTGCATCATTTAATTAGCCGCAGAGATTTAAAAGACTCTCCTGACGCTTGGTCCAGCTCGAATTCTTTTTCGGTCGTTGCTGCGAACCTGTGGTTCATTTAGTGCGCAGTCTTCAAACATGGCCCAGATTTCATTCATTCTAACCACGTGTTGGAAACTGCGCTCATAAATCGCTTGCAGAACAACGGATTTCGCGGAATTTGGAACCACAACTCAAGAATGGACGGTACAGTGTTGGATGCGGCCCGAAAATCGTCGAAAACTTGCCAAATAGAAGGATGCCATGAAAACACGGTGGGATCAAGGACAGCCCTGTGTCGCAAGCATAGGAACAATAGGTACAAACAAAATTACAAGAAGAAAAAGCGAAGAGCGCAGGGATCAGACGTGAGTAGCATAAAAGTGTTTAAATATTTCAAGAGTCATCAATGTATTGTTCAGAGCTTGTGATTTTGGATTTCGACAAAAAGCAACTTCTCCCTCGACACAAGTCACATGTCTTTGTGAAGCTTATTTCCATTTTTCATTTCACATTGTTTTAACACCGATTTCAATTCAATGGTGTATTTAACAGGTTTCGCTTCTAAAGTTCATTAAAACACTAATCAATCCTGGTAGTATATTTGCGCAGCATTTCCCAACCGCAGCAATAACACGAAATGTTGAAATAATATCCTTACATGCGTTAATCTGGAATTTAAATAATTTTCCAAAGTGATCTTTAATCACGCTTTTGTGCTCGTAAAGTTCGGTCTTTTTCTGTCATGAATTTTAATTCTCTGAGCATGAAAAGGAGACAACTCATTTGATTCTGAGAGCGATAGTCGCTAACAAGGGCATATGTTCCTTTAAAGCGATCACTTCGTACAAATTTCCATTGCGCACTGATTAACATAAACAAGATTACTTCGTTGTCAACTTCAGACAATTATGTGTATTTAGGCAATGATCCGTTTTTTGCCTCGCATGGCCAAAAATAACGTATTGCCATCAGAAAAGTTTTTTTCTGTTGTATCAGCTTTTGTTCCAAAAAGGCTTTAGTGGGCATATGTGGTCAAATAATCATGATCTTTGTGTGATAAGTTAATATACAATTTGTTTACCAAAGTCTTGTAATGTTTTTTTTATTACATGGCAAATTGGCCTGCTTTGAAAAAGAGATTTCTGATTGGTTCCCAAAGGGGTCCGAATTTTGGGGAAGCAGACTGCTAAGATAGACTGCTCAAAAACAATTTTGCTGAAAGGCTTTTGCAAAGCATTGTACTTAAGAAAACAGTTTGGTGTTAAGTAGAAATCTTTTTTCAATCACAACTGGTGGGTAACTACAGTTGAACTTTCACAAAAGCAATAGGAAACAATGCAAATAATAAATAAATAATATTAAAGTA